AAAAAAAAAAACTAAACTGATGGTTTTCTTATAAAACTAAAACTAATCTCTACTCAATGAGCCAACAATTTTTTTCCTAGGGGTTTACCCAAAAGAAAACACAGGTCCATAAAAAGACTTAAATAAAAATATGGTTGCCCCTAGAAGGTGAGAGCATAAATAAACTGGGAAGGAGCATGAAGGAACTTCCTGAGGAGGTGATAATATTGAATTACCTAGGCATATGCATTTATCAAGACTCAATAAACACACATTTAAGATTTTTACATTTCACTGAATGTGAATTTTACCTCAATAAATACTGAACTCTAGTGATATGCATACTGAAGTATATTGGGGGGGGAAGTATACTGATAACTTAATTAATTAATTATTTAAAAGATTTTATTTATTTGACAGAGACAGACAGGGACAAAAGGAACACAAACAGGGGGAGTGGTAGAGGGAGAAGAAGGCTTCCCGCTGAGCAGGGAGCCTGATGTGGGGCTCAATCCCAGGACCCTGGGACCATGACCTGAGCTGAAGGCAGACACTTAACCGACTGAGCCACCCAGGCGCCCCAACTATAACTTATTTTGAAATGCATCAAAAAATAAGATGCACTGATGTGTAATACATCTTTATATATCTTTATACATACCCATATATATGTGAGTAGATATGTGATAAAACAAAAATATTAAAAGATTAATGGTAGAATCTCAGTGGTGAGAGTGGTGTTCACTTAAAAATCTTTCAATTTGGCCATATATTTGAAATGTTCATCATAAATTATTGCAGGGGAGGTGGGGACTAAGTCTGTAGAATGGAAGTCATAACACTTGGTACTAGAAAAACATCCTCAAGGGGCGCCTGGGTGGCTCAGCTGGTTAAACGACTGCCTTGGCTCAGGTCATGATCCTGGAGTCCCGGGATCGAGTCCCGCATCGGGCTCTCTGCTCAGCAAGGGGTCTGCTTCTCCCTCTGACCCTCTTCCCTCTCGTGCTCTCTGTCTCTCATTCTCTCTCTCTCAAGTAAATAAATAAAATCTTTAAAAAAAAAAAAAATCCTCAAATACCGAAGGGCATTTTATTGTCATAATACAGGTAATCTTCAAGAAAGAGCTCCAGTGATAGTGATCCTAGACTAATTAAAAGGAGTTTCCTATTTCTCAGTATGCCCTATTAAATTCTACATATAAAATCTGATGACACTTCCCTTCTCAAGATTATGATTATTATGCTTAATTATCTTCATTAGATACTCAGAAAGTATGTACTTGGAAAGGGGAAAATAAAACATAAGCCTCCTCCCACTTCATTTAGTAATTATTTATTAAACATTGTGCAGAGGAGGGGCACCTGGGTGGCTCAGTTAAGTGTCCAACTCTTGATATCAGCTCAAGTCTTAATCTCAGGGTTCTGAGCTCAAGCCCCACACTGTTTTTTTTTTTTTAAGATTTTATTTATTTATTTGACAGAGGGAGACACAGCGAGAGAGGGAACACAAGCAGGGGGAGTGGGAGAGGGAGAAGCAGGCTTCCCGCGGAGCAGGGAGC